TAGCGTGTGGTCTACACACATATTTACACTATAGCGTGTGGTCTACACACATATTTACACTATAGCGTGTGGTCTACACATATATTTATAGCGTGTGGACTTTACAAATACTATCATCATCGACGTTTTAATTTTCATGTATTTGGAATTGGTGACAGTTATTATAAATAATGCTTTAAACTAATAAAGTACAACATACCATTACATAATGTGTAAAGAATGATCAAGGATACTGAAAGAGAAATGTTTATCACATATTTAAGTAGAACCGTGTGAAATGTGTGAAGAATGATCAAGGATACTGAAAGAGAAATGTTTATCACATATTTAAGTAGAACCGTGTGAAATGTGTGAAGAATGATCAAGGATACTGAAAGAGAAATGTTTATCACATATTTAAGTAGAACCGTGTGAAATGTGTGAAGAATGATCAAGGATACTGAAAGAGAAATGTTTATCACATATTTAAGTAGAACCGTGTGAAATGTGTGAAGAATGATCAAGGATACTGAAAGAGAAATGTTTATCACGTATTTAAGCAATGAAAAATGTTGGTTTTAGAGGACAGCCGTGACATTTGGCAGGATCAAAGGAATGACAGAGAGAAGGAAAATTTTGATCTCAGTCATGCATGATACAGGTATGTCAATATGGCTTTTATATTTCAGAGTTGAATATTGTTATTAGGCTTAATATTAATCAGAAAATGGTATACTGTAGAAGCACACACAGCTCAACAAGTTGTGGTAGATATGTTATATAATTATTTCATATTTCTTTTCTGTTTAATTTTGCATGTGTTGTAGAATGTTGCTTATTTCTATGTAAATATAAGATTTAGTGCTTACAAATACAAATTAAATAGCTCACAGTTTGAAAATGGTTGTATGGTATGGTTTTAACTATGTTGCCATTTAGAGAAAACATAAAGGATGTCAAACAAGTAATATACCAAAACCAGAACCTGAAAACCTTTGTATGTTTATAGAAGTTTTAAAGAAACTTGAGAGAATCTTTCTGTCCACGTAGAACTATTAACTCTTTCACTACTCCATGTGCCATATAATGTTTTAATTTTCCCCACCACTGTTTGAAATTCCAGCTGATATTTGGTTGTACCAGTGATCTATAGATGCCACTCCCCATTGTACTAATAGCCCAAAAAAATCTACATCCCTCGGTTACTCTGAGATAGCCATGGAAGTATCACATGGATTGATGTCTAGAGTCAGGTCATGAAAGATGAAAAAATTAATTTGATTTTTTTTGGCTCATGTAGAAAATAATATTTCAGATCACACTTGGGAATGCATAAAAAAAATTTAAACTGTGGAGTATATAAGAATCTGAAACTGTGGAGTATGTAAATAAATTAATATCAACTTAAAATCAGAGCAAGCTACTTACTTTGAGCAAAAATAAAAATATTTCTGGTAAAATATAATTTTATTTTGTTATTATCTATAAAGATTAGAATGTATTGTTTTATTAGTTAAGTACCATTGCTGTCAGCAAAGGATATTTAAGTTAGTCCTTAATACATATATTAAGCTAACACTGCAAAACAACTTCTGTAATAAAAGTATAGTAACAAAAGATAGAATTTAAAAAGTAATAACATTATGTATATTCAACATTGTAACCAATACTGTTTTTGAAAGTAACAATAAAGAAATGATAAGAGTATATTGTTACATATTGTATATTGTAACATTATGTATATTAAACATTGTAACCAATACTGTTTTTGAAAGTAACAATAAAGAAATGATAAGAGTATATTGTTACGTCTCTGTATGTTCGTTTGTTAATTTTTCTGCAATACAAGTCCTTTCTTAAATAAAACTAGTTTATTCTTCCTCAATACAACTTTGCAATACACTTAATTTCCACAGTTACTTTAACTTAAACACACGCTATAATTCACAACAATTCACTCACTTTACTACCGCGCTTGACTCAATTGTCCGTCTCTATCTCCGCCTGTCAGCAACTATAGTTCCGATCTCTGTATCTGCTATCCTTGGTTCCCACTGACCGTAACTGCTGTCCTTGGTTCCCACTGACCGTAACTGCTGTCCTTGGTTCCCACTGACCATAACTACTGTCCTTGGTTCCCACTGACCGTAACTGCTGTCCTTGGTTCCCCACTCTCTCTCTCTCTCCTTTGTCTAGCGCACTTATATACGATAATACCGCTCGTGTAGCCTCTTCGAGAATCTTCTAGATACTCATCACGTGTTACCAGCGTCACTTGACTTCCGCTGTCATAACACACTAATGTTTTTTGCGAATCTTCTAGATACTCATTATGTGTTACCAACATCACATGACTTCCGCTGTCGTAACAATATCTTACTTAAACTGGAGTATATAAAGACACTGAAACTGTGGAGTATATAAAGACACTGAAACTGTGGAGTATATAAAGACACTGAAACCGTGGAGTATATAAAGACACTGAAACCGTGGAGTATGTAAAGACACTGAAACCGTGGAGTATGTAAAGACACTGAAACCGTGGAGTATGTAAAGAAACTGATACTGTGGAGTATGTAAAGACACTGAAACTGTGGAGTATGCAAAGACACTGAAACTGTGGAGTATATAAAGACACTGATACTGTGGAGTATGTAAAGAAACTGATACTGTGGAGTATGTGAAGACACTGAAACTGTGGAGTATATAAAGAAACTGAAACTGTGGAGTATATAAAGAAACTGAAACTGTGGAGTATATAAAGAAACTGATACTGTGGAGTATGTAAAGAAACTGATACTGTGGAGTATATAAAGAAACTGATACTGTGGAGTATATAAAGAAACTGATACTGTGGAGTATATAAAGAAACTGAAACTGTGGAGTATATAAAGACACTGAAACTGTGGAGTATATAAATACACTGAAACTGTGGAGTATATAAAGACACTAAAATTGTGGAGTATGTAAAGAAACTGATACTATGGAGTATATAAAGACACTGAAACTGTGGAGTATATAAAGACACTGAAACTGTGGAGTATATAAAGACACTAAAATTGTGGAGTATATAAAGACACTAAAATTGTGGAGTATATAAAGACACTAAAATTGTTGAGTATATAGAGAAACTGATACGATGGAGTATATGAAGAAACTGATACCGTGGAGTATATGAAGAAACTGACATCATGGAGTATATAGAGAAACTGACATCATGGAGTATACAAAGAAACTGATACTATGGAGTGTATAGAGAAACTGATACCATGGAGTATATAGAGAAACTGATACCGTGGAGTGTATGAAGAAACTGATACTGTGAAATGTATGAAGAAACTGATACCGTGGAGTATATGAAGAAACTGATACCGTGGAGTGTATGAAGAAACTGATACCGTGGAATGTATGAAGAAACTGATACCATGGAGTATATGAAGAAACTGATACCTTGGTGTATACAAACTGTAGAGTATATAGAGACACTGAATAACTTGAAATGATTAGTAGTTTATAAATGTGGAGCATTTTAAGTCTTAGTTACACATGTATATATTCCTAAGTAAAGTTACAAACCTTTATAAAATTGTTCCAACAAAAAGACTGCTTGTCTATTTGTTTTTAAATCTACAGCAAGAGCAATCTGTGCAGTACCAACCGTGGGTATTGAAACCCAATGTTTAGCATTACAAGTTCTCAGACGTATTGCAGAGCCTTGGGGCACTAGAAAGAGTATATGCACGTTTGATTTTGCAATTCTAACTTCTATCCATTGAGCCGTACACCAAAACTGTTGTATTTGAATGTGCAAATTGTAATAGGTACTAGCAGAATTCACACATATATATTTTCTTTAAAAGAACTGCTATTTCAAATGATTTTCCAAGTATATAAGAAAGTCTTCTATAGCAAATAAAACAATGAACTTCATTACTATGACAGCATACATGTAATCGGAATTTGTAAAATTATTGGACTCTACCCCCTTCTTCTTGCATGTTCTTTGTTGACCAATATAAAAGTAATTATATGTAATTATAGGACAATAGGCTGTTGGGAGCTAAGTTTGTTATTGCACTTGGTATAAATTATTGGTGTTTTAATTTATTTAATTAACTTAAGGGTCAGAAATGTACTACATAATGTTTTTAAAAATTTCAGGGCCAACCAAATCCCAGCTATGACTAAAGGCTTAACTTCCTTCTTTTGTGGATAACAAAATAATTTCTCTATGGAAAACTATAGTTTTTGTTTTTAACTTTAACAGCATGTGTGACTTGACTATTTGATAGTGTTTTTGAGCTAAGAAAACTTTCTGAGATTAATAATGTTACATAATTAAATAAAATAAATGTACAGCTTTTAACTTTTTTCTCTTACTTTATATATCTGTATTAAAGCTGTGCGATTTAATCAATTATGTATAAGGAGTGATTACATCAATAAGTATCACATAAACGTATCGATTAATTGAAATTAGTGTTTCTGATTATTAATGTTTTAGTATATAAATAAATATATACATATACATACATTTGTGTGTTAAAGATGTCTTCTTTTTAACCGTTAGGCCTCTACGTCACAGATTATTTTTAAGTTCACCATTGTTGAAAAGGAAAATAAATCTTTAACACACACATACATAGATACATATGTATGTATATTTAATCATTAAACAGTCGGTCTGCAGTATAATATTTAACATATGTATGTATATTTAACCATTAAACAGTCGGTCTGCAGTATAATATTTAACATATGTATGTATATTTAATCATTAAACAGTCGGTCTGCAGTATAATATTTAACATATGTATGTATATTTAACCATTAAACAGTCGGTCTGCAGTATAATATCAAATGATGAATTTAATGAAATGTCATAACATTATTCACATACCTAAATTAGTTTAGTTTACTGTATGGTGAAGTAAAAAGGACTAAAAACCCCATAGATACTGTTTCTGATTATTCTAACAATCAATTAATCAAAATTATGATTAAATCAAGTGTCATGAAAATAATCAACTAATCAAAATAGGGTTTCACATTATTACTGTTTTTCAGTATTCCAACTATCCAAGTAATTGAGTATTGCTATTATGTTTATTTTTAAGGACAAAGCTATATAAAGGGCTAATTTTGAACTGCTAAATAGAGAGAATATTGTTTGGCAGCATCTGTCACCAGCCATTTTTTTCAATTTTTTTTCTTTCTTTCATGTACATAACTTGATTTAAGGAATACTACTAATTGATTTAATGGAGCTGTTTATTAATTGATTAGCAAGTACCCCTACTTCCCCAGCTCTAATCTGTTGATTTAAGTAAACTAAAACTGACATATTTTGCCTTTCCACAGCTGTTGAAGAAAAGTTATTCTTATTTACCTGTATTTGTTTTGTCTTTTTGTTTTAATATTCATGCAGGGGTCCTGTTTATATTTAGTTTGCATCCTTGTGAACAGGATATAGATTGTGAACTTGTGCTAATCCTCTAGTTGAGGTTACATATCACAATGATTATCAAGTACACCATATACTTGCTTGATTTGGTTTCTGAGTCATGTCCTCCTAGAGTGAAGTTATACTCATTTCAAGGGGTAGTGCAAAGAATTGTACAAGTTAGTATGATCTGGAGGTATATATCCCTTGAATGCATAGTGGTGATGATTTGTTGACATTGGTATTGTAGGTAGAATACTGTGCTAGGACTTTCGTGTGACTTGAAAGTGTGGTATTGTTATTATTTAATATAAGTAATCTAGGGTTGTAGAATGCTGAACTAGGACTTTCATGTGACTTGAAAGTGTGGTATCATTATTATTTAATGTAGGTAATATATATAAGGTTGTACAATGCTGAACTAGGACTTTCATGTGACTTGAAAGTGTGGTATCATTATTATTTAATGTAGGTAATCTAAGGTTGTAGAATGCTGAACTAGGACTTTCATGTGACTTGAAAGTGTGGTATCATTATTATTTAGTGTAGATAATCTAAGGTTGCAGAATGCTGAACTAGGACTTTCATGTGACTTGAAAGTGTGGTATCATTATTATTTAATGTAGATAATTTAAGGTTGTAGAATGCTGAACTAGGACTTTCATGTGACTTGAAAGTGTGGTATCATTATTATTTAATGTAGGTAATCTAAGGTTGTACAATGCTGAACTAGGAATTCCACGTGGCTTGAAAGTGTGGTATCATTATTATTTAATGTAGATAATCTAAGGTTGTAGAATGCTGAACTAGGACTTTCATGTGACTTGAAAGTGTGGTATCATTATTATTTAATGTAGATAATCTAAGGTTGTAGAATTTTGCACTAGGACTTTCATGTGACTTGAAAGTGTGGTATCATTATTATTCCCTTCCTTCTTTCTTATCTTGTGTAGTTGCTTTTCCTCTGTCCCAGCAACAAGAAGTTATACAATACTGAAGCCAGCCATTTAATGTTAAAAGACGTTCATCACTGTGAATAAAGAAGGTTTTTGTTCACTTGTATTTACTTCTTTTCCATTGTTGTATGTGATTAAAACTATTATCTCCTTCAGATTTCCTGAATCTGCTAAGTATTGCTGATACTTAGAATTTGGACATCAGTGTATCTGAACTTCAGTTTCAATTGAATCACTAATAATGACCATCATACTTCGTTCCATCCATTACTTCTCAGTGTTTATAATAAACACTATGGTTGTGTTTTTTTTTGTTGTTTCCCTAATTTACATCTATCAGTTTATACCGGACAGTAAAAAAAAACCTACTTTTATGTTTATTTGTATTTTTTGGTCTGGAGTATTTAAAAATGTACAAAACAGCAAGAGTGTATTAGCTTTTCATTGATATAGTGAACTAATTTTGCAAAGTTTTTATCAACAAGAGGTGAAATGTTTTTAGATACTTTTATTCTTAGATATTTATATAAGTAGTATTTTCATGCATCAAATACATGCACAAGAAACATGACATTAAACCTTCTTCAAGAATAACATATACTGATTCACGATCTTTTTTCTTTTAGAAGCGTCTTGAGTAAAGATTGAAAATTTTGGAGGAAAGGGCCGTATTTGAAAACTAAAATCACTTTAAAATATAGCATTGGAAATGATTATGGAAATGCACAAGGTGATACCAAATCCAGGAGTCACAAGCAATGAGTAGTTTCAAGAAAATGGTCAACTTATCATTAGTACAATACATTATCAAATAAAATACACAAGAAAACCAAAATGTACGATGCACTCCTATTTTACATTTGCTATAAACACAGCCATAAAGCTTGGTTTCATGCTACCATATGCTTATGATTGGGAAATATTGTTCCAAATGTCTGGTATTATTTTTACCATTCAGCCAAGTTGGTTTCCATATAAGCTCATTAAGCCTTAATAATATTCATATTGAAATATTAACAGTACTCTTTAGAGTTTCCATTCAAATCTTACTGAAAATGACCATTTGCTCAGTTTATGGCATAGAGTAGCCTTCACCAGCCAAAACTTTGGTTTCTAAATGTTTATCATGTGAAATTTCTGTCTGGGAGCCATTATGCAGTGCGTTCACCATACTACTGCTGGGAATAGTGTTATTACTTGTACTTTTATAGGTGTTATGCTAGTATGGTGCTCTGGATGAATGACATACAATCATGGTGTAAACTATCAACATGTGATTGTATTCTGGTGCAGCTTATTTTCATAGAGAGATGAGTAGTCCTATAATATTTCAATTTTATAGCCATAATTATGTCCAATATTTTTTGTGTGAAAATTTCCAATATATTAATTTTTAGCTGTTTAAAACATTTCAACTAGATATTGGTTCTCAGACAAGCAGAGTTCCATAATTTTAAGGTATGAATTGTAAGAATTTAAATATAGTTTGGCTGCTAGTCAGAGGTCCTGATACTTAGGTATTGTTTGGCTGCTAGTCAGAGGTCCTGAGATCAAGTATTGCTTGGCTGCTAGTCAGGAGTCCTGAGTTTAAGTATAGTTTGGCTGCTAGTCAGAGGTCCTGAGATCAAGTATTGTTTGGCTGCTAGTCAGGAGTCCTGAGTTTAAGTATAGTTTGGCTGCTAGTCAGAGGTCCTGAGTTTAAGTATAGTTTGGTAATACTTCAGTATTTTTTGTGAAATTCCCTTTTTGTTGTGACACTAATAGGCAGACATATGTTGTCGTATAGGTCAGATGTTATGGATGTCATGGATATTTGTAGCAGTTTCAGGATGGACCAGACTGAAAGTGTCTATATATATATATAAATAATTCAGGAAGAAAATATAAGGCTCCATTAATCAAAGATCTTAATTTCAAACTCACTTTTTTTCATTTTCCATGAAGTCACATTCTGGATTTTTCTTGAAAGGATTTTTGTGGCCACTTATATTTTTTCACCTTTTGATAACGAGATTTATTTACCCATGGTTAGCACTCTTGTCAAGCTTCTGTTTCAGATAAGCTTAATAAAGATTACAAATAAGTGGAAGGTTATAATATTGCTCTTCAAGCCCAAAACCGAAGAACACATCTTGTGCAATTCTAAAAATTCCCCAAATCTTAAGCTTCAGGAAATCAATAAAAATATATTTATTTATAACAATGTTTTTATTGAACATATAATGATTTTAGTTGTTTTAGGGTCTACTGGATTGGAACTTTTCCCTTATCCTGGTTTGGCATAAAACTTAACAAACCAGTTTTTATATAATTAATATTTATATCTGTTTGTATAATATCTGTTTGTTCACAAATAATTCATTCATTACAATCATGGTTGCACCTAATATTTCCTTTATTGATTAAACCATGGTCTAATAAATGAAATAAATGTGAAAGTTAGAACTGTCTTTATTTTCAATAATTACAAAACCATTTTTCACTGTTTCCCTGTGTAAAACATTAAATACATTTATCTTTAAGCTAGGCACAACACAAAGCAATTAATTTATGAACTTGTGAAAGTTATTAATGGCACACCTATGTATATTATTTATTGTATAATGTTTTTCATTTAAGTTTGATTTCTTCATTTTCTCGAATTCTACATTAAATTTCGTCATATTTTCATGTTGTTTAAGTTATGGTATAGGTGCCACATAAAAGGCTTGTTAAAAAAATTAGCTCTGTAGGTGTGAGGGATAACTTCGCTCATTTGATAGAAAAGTAGCTGGATGTAAGAAAACAGATGGTTGTTATAAATGAAGTTCAATCAAACTAGATTAATGTTACAAGTAAGGTACCTTGGGCTCAGTGTCAAGATCTTTTGATTTAC